CTCGATCCCGGACCGAGCCCCCAAATGAAAGACCCCAGAAGAGGTACTTTCGTAGAAGGAGACCCGCACCCAGGAATCAGGGAAACCACGAACTTTGGATGCAAAGGCAAGAGGCTTTATTAGTAGCGCTGGTACCCGGGGGACTTAGCTTTTGTTAGGCTAAGCCCCGAGCCCCGGAAGGGGAGTCCTTTTATAGGGGAAAAAGGCACCGTAATAGTCAGGCGAAACGGCCTTTATCTTTTGCCGGTCCAGATGGCTGACCTTGGGACGGAGCGATCCGGCGGGGGCCGGGGCCGGCAGGGAAATGCCGGCAGCTGTGGGGATCAAGGGTCGGGGAGTGCAGGGGAGGATGTATTCCCCATGCGCTCCGCCAGCTGGGCGCGGGGAAACTTAAAAGAGAAAGCTAAGGGCGGGGGTCTTTCACTCTGTGACCTTACCTTTACAACAGCTGCATCCACCTCACCCACCTCGTGGGCTGTGTAGATAACTCAAGGAGGGGCAGTCTCAGCTCTCAGCAGGCACAGTTGGGACTCAGTATTTTTGGTTGTTGCAACCTTGAGTGTTCTACTGGCCTCTGGTAGGACATTAGCATTCTTCAGTGTTCATGATGGCTTCCCCACTGATCAAAGAGTTACTGCTGTTCACACTGCTGCCAGACACTGGGGTCTCACTGTCACTCTGGCCTTTTTTTTTCCTATTTTTGTACTGTGCTTTTGTGAAAAAATGTATTATTTATTAAGAGACTACCCTAGACCCAGAATAGCTAAGGGAGCTGATGCTGTGGTGGAGTGACACTGGCATTAATCAAGGTGGCAATTAGTAGATAGGTGTTCTAAGATCAGGGTCACTTCAGTTAGCTGCAAGACCTTCAGGAGCTATTGTATCCCGCCAGGTCCTGCCACCCTTTGGCCCCAAATAAGCTACATAATTATTTACTGTGTGCATGTGAATGAGGGTATTCCCCTGCAACTGTATCATCTACAGTGACTCTGTAAGTCTTAAAACTGTCCTTACTGCCACTGCAAATGTGTTTTGGGGGCAGGGTGAAGGTGGGCAGTAGTTGTATACAGCTGCTCTGTGCAACCTGTGCTTTTGGAGTGCTATACCACCAGACACAAATCCTTGTCCAGCTCTGCAGATGTCCTGGCACTTAAGATCATCTTATACTGTGAATCTGGACATCCAACTCCAAGAAGTTCCAATGGCCTGGTAAGGCACCACACACACCCATTTTCACTTCAGCAGTATTCATCATCAGTTCATTTGCAACACACTTTAAATAAACACTGAGCACTGATCACACAAAAAGCAGGAAGAAAGGCAGGAAAGGGCTTTTTCTCCTGTAACTAAAGAGATTGCAGCTTAGAGCAATGCCCCAGGCTGTGGTGTCTGTGACAGTTTTGGGACAGAGGTCTTCATAGTTCCCCTTAATTCTCAGAGCCTCTTCCTTCTGTGATCTCAGAAGGTCACAGGACAAGGGAATCTGAGAGTGCAGGTCTGTCCTCACCACAGAGAAATCTCTTGCTCTCTGTCCTAGTTAACTTCCCTGTTGCTGTGATAAACACCATGACTCAAACTTAACCTGTAGAGGAAAGGGTATATTTCATCTTTTTTTTTTTTCTCGAGACAGGGTTTCTCTGTAGCTTTGGAGACTGTCCTGGAATTCACTCAGTAGACCAGGCTGGACTCAATTCACAGAAATCCTCCTGTCTCTGCCTCTCGAGTGCTGTCATTAAAGGCACCTGCCACCACTGCCTGGCGGTATATTTCATCTTACAACTTCTAGGCCACACTGAGCCTCTGAGGGGAGTCAAGGCAGGAACTGAAGCAGAGGCCATGGAGGAGTGATGTGTACTGGGTTGGCCCTCATGGCTTGCTTGGACTGCTTTCTTTATGTCTTTTATAAGTCCTTCCAGCACCATTTGCCAAAGGGTGGCATGCACATAGTGTTGTCTGGGCCCTGCCACATCAACCATTAATCAAGAAACCCTATTTCAATCATTTGTCAAGAAAATGTCCTAAAGGTTTGCCTATAGCTCAATCTGATAGAGGCATTTTCCGCATTGAATTTTCCTCTTCTCAAATGACCCTGGCTTGTGTCAAGTTGACAAAACTAGCTATAACACCTCTAGAAAGGCTTCTTGTCACAACTGGGCAAAAACTCAGCTGCTGCAGATTCCTCCCACAAACAGTCTTCTCTTACACTGAGGGTACTGATGCTGAGCCCATCTCTCTGACACTGAGGGTACTGATGCTGAGCCCATCTCTCTGACACTGAGGGTACTGATGCTGAGCCGATCTCTCTGACACTGAGGGTACTGATGCTGAGCTGATCTCTCTGACACTGAGGGTAAAGATGCTGAGCTGGTATCTCACCAGCAACAGACTAACAGAGAAATGGATATGTATAGGAACTGAAGACTTGTATTAAATTCCACTGCCTCTCTTTGCCTATGACCCACGGCGAGTAACTCTCACCCATACTTTTCTCATCTGTAGAATGAAAAAAAATATATATATATATATATATATATATATATATATATATATATATATATGTAACATTTTTGTTTTCTAAGGAAAGAGCTTTCACATATCCTGACAAATCTGTCTGGTACTAGGAAAGTAAATTGAGGGCCAGGGACATGGCTCAGGCAGGCAAAGGTACTTGCCACTAAGCTTCACAATTGGAATTCAGTTCCCAGAACCCACATAGGAGAAGAAAACTGACTTCATAACATTGTCCTCTGACCTCACACACAAAATAAATAAATGATAAGCAGTTAGTGAATCCTTCTTGACTTCAGATGCCAGGAACCACAAGAACTGTTAAACCTTTGTGGTTATGCCTGAAAAACCACGGAAGGCAGTGGGTATGAGATGAGGGCTAGGGGTGTGTGTGTGTAGCTAAAGGTCATAAGATTCTCTTTGTAAAATATTTACACAGGTATTGGGTTGATTAAAAAAAAAATCAGAATTTAGGCCGGGTATGGTGGCACTCTCCTTTAATCCCAGCACTTGGTAGGCAGAAGCAAGTAGGTCTCTGTAAGTATGAGGCCAGCCAGGTCTACATAGTGCCAACCTGTCTCTAATTTTTTTAAAAAAACACAAATTTAATAAAACACCAGAAACCACAAACCAGAGGGAAGGGAGAGAGGTAAGCTTTTTCTTGGTTTATTTTTCCAACTGAGGAATTAGTATTCTTCTCATCAAGGAGGATGGGTCTTCTAGAAACCTTTCCTGAATAGATCGATGGCTTTCTTTTTAAGGCATTTCTATTCCTGCTACTGATTTCTGTAGATGTGGCCCCTTTTGCTCCCTCCTGGATGCTGAGTTGCTTTGACCTGGCCAGGTCTCAGGGTGTGGGCTGAACTCCCGATGAGCTCTGGCGCCCCCTCCTGTCCAGTCTGAGACTGGCTTTTTTCAGCTCTAGAAGCCCGGTTGTGAGTTTCCTCGGGTTCTGCTTTCTTCCCATTTTGTCCAGAAAAAATGAAACAACTTTCTCCTCTCCTGCCACCTAGCCCCATCTGCCTCTAGCCGTCATAGTGAGTGGTCTCTGCTCTTGTCCAGTCCTCTTTCCTGCCTCTTTGTCACCACCTTACACCTCGGTCCCCTCCTCAGCCCCTGCTGATTGACCCGGGGTTTGCGATTGTTTTTGTTTCGTTGGTTTTATGAGACAGTCTAAAGTATTCCTGCTGACTTTGAATCCTCCTCCTCCTTCTTTTTACAGTTTATTTTTATTTTCTATGTATTGCCTATGTGCCATGTACTCTGTGTGTACTTGATGCCCACAAAGGCCAGAAGAGGGTTGGATCTCTTGTGACTGACGTTACAGACAGTTCTAAGCCACCTGGTGTGGGTTTTGTAAACTCGGGTCCTCTAGAAGAGCAGCCAGTGCCCTTAACTGCAGAGCCATCTCTACAGCCCTGAGAGATGTCACATTTACATGTCACCACATTTTGACGTTTTAAGAAAAATCTGCAATCTAATTTTCAAATTATCATAAATATTGATATATGTATGTATTTCAGTAAGTGGCTTTTCAAAAAAGTTTTAATACATTTCTCTTTACTTGTGGTATACATGTATGTATGTAGGAGGTCCAAAGACAACTTGGGGAAAGCAGTTCTCTCCTTCCTTTGTGTGAGTGGCAGGTATTGAACTGGGGTCATCAGGCTGGAAGCAGGTTCCTCAACCATCTTAGCTATATGTCACCAGCTCCTCAGAAAGTTTTGAAGTAGAAAAGTTAGTGCTCACTTTGGCAGCATGTATACTAAAGCTGGAACAGTCCAGAGAAGATTAGCAAGGCCCCTGAGCAAGCCATGCAAATTAATGAACATTCCATATATTTGAAAAATAGAAAAGTTATTGCTTCACTTTAACTCTGTATTCATTTTTTTAGCTTTTTAAATTTTTGTTTTGAAAATATCTCCTCTGATAAGACAATAAGCATTCTGCATTACAGATATTGTCCGCACAGGAACCCATTGTCAAGCATGGCATTGCCACATCACTCGCTGGAGTTAGTGACTTTGCCCTTCCACGCGTTTCCATGTCAAGAGTGCCTTCACATTCCATGTTGCCACTAAACAGTAAAGTTATTTGGGCAGCATTTAAAGAAAATTTCTCTGAAATGCGTGCATACTAAATAGTCATACACACTATTATTCTATTTTACCCCGCATCAGCCTGCACAGGGAGATTTCTAGTCTGGGCTTTACTGGAGACTTGCTATTCAGAAGATGCTGAAATACCAAGTGTTGCCTCTTTCCTGAATTTTAGAGATTGGCAATGTAGATGATATGCTGTATGCCAGGTCTCAGAAATAGAATTTGGGTCATGTAGTTTCTATACTGAGCTGGAGAACCATGAGGTTCTGATGAAGTCTATCCAGTATGGTACCCACCACTTATATAAGGCCATCTAAACCTAAAATCCAAGGCTTTAGTCACAGTGGCCGGATTTCAAGTGCTCCAAGAGTACGTGGGCTGGTGGCCACCACATTGGGTGACCCATGAAGAACATTCCCATCATGGCAAGGCCTGTTTAAATAAAGGAAACAGAGATGGACTATTCTAACAGCCTAATGGCATTTACTGAGACTATTATTAATCTGTTGTCTTTATTTGATGAATTTAAAAAATAAAAATAAGTGCACTTCATTTTTAAAGCACTTTTAAGTTCATAATTGGAACTTAAAACAATTGGAAGCACACACACACACACACACACACACACACACACACACACACACACACACACACACACACACACACACACATATATATATATATATATATATATATATATGCTCCCTCACACATGCACGGTGCTCCCCACAGTGGCATGATTTTTACAGTCAGCAAAGTGCATAGGTCACGGGTGTGTTCCCTAGGTGTGGTACAGCCTCTGGACTCGGACACATGTAACGTTGTTTATTTCGCCCACTGTGTGACCATTATATCAGCTGATTTTCTCTTTACTGTGACAAAATATTCATCAAAAAGAATTTAAAAGGAGAAGGTTTTACTGTGGCTCATGGTTTGAGAGGTTTCTATCCATGGTTGCTTGGACCTGTGAGCTTGATTATATCCTCATAGAAAGCAGGACACTGAGATGAAGGCTGTTCTTCACAGGGAATGAGGGGCCCAGGAAAGAGAGGAGATCCAGAGGGCCATGATAACCTTCAGAGGACAGCAACTCCCCTGGAAACTGTTTCTCCAAGCTAGGCTCACCCTAAGTCCCCACAACCATCCAGATCAGCACTTGCTACCAGCGGAGCATCAGGCCTTTAGACACGGGGCCTGTAGGAGGTATTTCACATCAGGCACATCCAGCTCACCCAGAGGAGCTTTATCGTCCTGGGAGTTTCCTCTGCCTGTTCACCCTTCCTGTCCTCTCCCTCAGCTTCAGCCGCTGGCAGCCATTTCCTTTTACTGTTCCCATAGTTTTGACTTTTTCTAGAATGTACGTTCAGAGAAATCTGCTAGAATTTTTTTAATTATGTGTGTATTTATGTATGTGGATGAGTACATATACACCTGTGTGCACTGTGTAGACTGTCTTGAACAAGGTCCTTAGAAATCCTGTCCAAGTCCTTTGAGACAGGGTCTCTCATTGGTCTGGAGCTCAAGATTTAGGCTAGATTGGCTGGCCAGTGAGCCTCAGCAATACTCCTGTCTCCACCTTCCCAGCACTGGGATCGCAAGTGTGTACTCATACCCGGTGTCTATGAGTTGGTTCTGGAAGTTTTAATCAGGTCCTCATGACTGCAAGGCAAGCACTGTGCTGACTGAACTGTCTCCCCAGCTCTGTTAGTAGATTACAAGCTGTCAGTTGTAAGCTTCTTTAGATGACATATTGTATTGTTCTTTGATAACTAGGCGGTTTGAATGAGAATGGCCCCCATAGGCTCATATGTTGGAATGCTTGGTTCCCCAGTTAGTGGAACTATTGGAAAGGATTAGGGGGTGTGGCCTTGTTGGTGGAGGTGTGTCACTGGGGGTGGGTTATGAGGTTTCTAAAGCCCATGGCAGGCAGGCCCAGTCTCACACTGACTCTCTGCCTACAATTAGTGGATCAGATGTGAGCTCTCAGCTACTGCTCCACTGCTATGACTGCCTACCTATCGCCATGTTCCCTGCCATTATGATCATGGACTCACTCTCTGGAACTGTAACCAAGCTCCCAACTAAGTGCTTTCTTCTATAAACTTCCTTGATCATGTTTCTTCACAGCAATGAAACAGTAACTATTTCCTAAGAATAGAGTTAGATATCACACTTAATTTTTATTGATTTATTTTTATTTTGGTGTGTGTGTGTGTACATACACTAGAATCAATGTCTTATATGACAGTATCTACAGAGGCCTCAAGATGGTGTCTGTTTCCCTGGGGCTGGGAGTTACAAGCAGTTATGAGCTACCCAGTATGGGTACTTGGAATAGATTTCTGACCCTCTGAAGAGCAACAGTGCTGTTAACCACTGAGCCATACTTCCAGTGCACCCACCCCATTCTTTAAAAAACAGGAAAAGAAATTTATTTCTTGACTGTGTAAACCTCCTAGACAGGTGATCAGGTCAGCAAGGGGGCTTTCCTCCAAGCAGCCCCTTGGGAGCCCAGGTTCCTTCCACCATGTGGCTCCCAGGCCTTGTCATTACTCATGAAATCAAAACAAGAAGGACAACGAGGAAGTGGGCAAGGTATCTTTAATGGGCTATGGTTTTCAAGATACATGTCATTTCTGTCCACATTCCAGAGAAGACAAGGGACATCCCCCTCCGCCCCGGAAATCCTTGGAAATACTGTCTAGCTCTTAGTTAAAGGACACACAGTGGACTGTGACTAAGGAAACTTTCTCAGAGCTAGTGTTCGTAATGGACAGGGCAAGAAGTAAATGCCTTCTGTCCTCTCCACCAGCCATAACTGAAGTCGCTAGGAGAAGCCCCACCTATAGGACAGAGCTGCCCTGGCACAGTCAGTGTGGAGTGACAGGCTGAGAAGCAGACTTCCTGGGTGCCCGCCTTGTCACCAGAAGGCAGGGCTTTCTTTGTTTTATTTATTTTGCTTTTTAGGCAGGGTGTCACTGTGTAGCTTGGCTGGCCTGTAGTCACTCTGTTTACCAGGTGTCTCTGCTGTTCTAATACTGGAGTTAAAGGCATGAGCCACCACCCTGGCTAAGGGTTCATTTTAAAGGAGACTTTCTGGAACAATTCAGCAACAAAATGTCTAGTTTTCTGCAGGCTACCATGTGGTGCTGGGATCTGACCGCAGCCCTCAGGGTTGAGCAGGAACCACTTCTAACTGCTAAGCCTTTCTCCTGCTTCCCAGATGCCCAGTTTTCAACCATAGACATTGAGGTTTGTTTTCTCTGGTTTGTTTGGGGATCCCTGAACTTTGATGGCCTTTCTGGACCCTCGTATTGACATTGTTTTTCAGATCCACGGTGATTTGATTCTTGTGGGTTGTGTAGATGCTGCAGCAATCACTGGAGACCTTAGCTTTCCTTGAAAATCACAGGAATGCTTGCCTAATCGTTTCCTTGGAAAGTACCTTATTGAGGTGTGTTTCTTTAAAACAAATCAACAGTTTGCACCTGTTTTTCTTGGCTCCTGTTCAAGTGTGTCATCACTGACTGACAAGTGTTACCTGCCAGCTGTCCTTTTGCACATAAAAGCTGAGTGTTCATGTAGTCATGGTAACATGCCTTTGATAGTGAGTGAACAATGCAGAAATAGACTGTTCCCTCCAGTCCTGTCTACTGTGCATGAGACACAGTATGAGGCCATTCTGGGAGAGAGCTGTGTGAGGTCCGGCCATCAGTCCAGCCAGCACTGCTATCTCACGCCCACTAGGAGGCAAAAGCCCCTGGCGATGTTTCTGAGAGCTCATTACTAGATTCCTCGTTACAGTCTTGGCTGAGCTGACACATTTGGCAAATGAGAAAGCTATGGTTGTGACTAGGCAACAGTTTTCCTTCCTGTCTTTCTCCTTAAGGAGGGGATGTGTTTAATGGGGACGTTGTTTCTGATATTCATAGGCATGCTCACTAGGCTCAAAGGCAGCCTGGGTTAAGATGGCAAGATGCCATTTAAAAACAAATAGCAGGATGTGCCATGGGACTGTTACATCACAAGTAGTCCTCATTTAACAGAACACTGTTTTCATGAGCTTATCTGCTGCAGGAGACCTTAAACAAATTACTAATTAGCATTTCTGAAATTTGCATCTCAAGCACTGGCTATTATGAACAGATTAAGTGGGAGACTTTCTGCACCCTGGGGGCTTGAAGGGGCACCCAGAAGGGGCCTGGGCCTGGAGGAAGGAACTGCTGCTCATAGCCTGGGCACACCTCAGAGGGTGAGGATGACAGCCAGAGGCCAGCTGGCAGCAAGGAGGATTTTCTCTGCTGTCTGTGGCTGTGAACTGGATGCAGGTTCCTTTTTCCTGCTGTCTAGGTTTTTCTTTTGATTCTCTTGTTGTTCTGGAGTCAAGCCATTTATTATATGTAGCTAGTGGCAAAATCCAACTCTTCACTGTTGAGCTCCTAAAGGAAAAATTACTGTTTTATTTATAGCCTCAGCTGTCCTTCCTGTTGAATAGCTGTTTTTAATATTTCTTAATGCTGTGGGGTCCTTAGGAACTTAACCATGGTGGTATAGCAAGGTTAATCATAATTTGCTTATTTGTCTGTTTGTTTTGAGAGTGTTCCGGGCAGCTGAGGCTGGCTTTGTGTAGCTGAAGATGACTTTGATCCTCCAACCTCCAGCAATTTACTTGGATGTGGTCATTAGTTGAGCATCACTGCTGCCCATGTCCAGCTCTTTCTTGTCTCTGAGGTGGAGTTTG